GACAAGAGCGTTGTGGACAGGGCTCATGAGTTAAAGGAAAACGGAAAACCGCGCCTGCGGCGGCAGCTTCGTCGGTGCTGACGTCACTGGAGCTTTACGATTCCCTCTTACGGCCCGAGAACTAACGAGCACATCCCATGTCTCCCACCCCCACATAGTTCTGTTTGGTAGAAATAGATCCATCTATATCTCCATTTTGTGACACAGTGGACTGGAAGCCTAAAATATGGGATCTAATCAGAAAATGATACCTTATGCTCTATCCTCCAATGTAAGAAGGGCCTCTTAAGATGACCCGGGGAGACTCTAGAATAAAACTTCCTTTGGATGCGTTATTTTCCTGATGTGACATTACACGAGTATTGGCTCTGTGAAATGACGTCATGGAATAAGTGATGATACAACGGAAAAATTTCGCTGAAAAATGATTGCGCACACGCGTTTCCCGAAGACGTCATTGTTTTTCAATGATATACTTAAAACTCCAATTCAATTCAATGGGCATGGCTATCAATCTCCAAACTTTCGCAGAGCGAAAAGCGGTACTTGTACACTTTGTCAAAGGTTTGTAGAGCACGTGTTTATTTGCGGACGTTCAGTTCAAGGAAAAATGACGTACTTAAAGTTTGCTGAGAATATCATCTGGAGCGTGGGGCCCGAGCAGTCGAACTCATTGTAGACAGCAGTCTACTTAGAGCACCTGGCGCGGCGGCTAAAGATTGTCTTCGAGGCGAGGCATGAATCATCGAGTGTCGATATTCGCCCATTTGATGCTATCGTGAAGAATCGATCGTTGTAAACTCCCTTCTATTCGATTCTTTCCCACGAGTTTTAATGGCAGATTATTCGATTCCTCGCAAAGCACGCCACGCCGCTGATTGTCTCCTCCGACAGGCAATCTGAACGCTTTATCTCCCTCAACCGATGTTTCTCAACTTGCTTACGCGATACGGATACATTGTTTGAGCGCCAAACCTTCAACCGTGGAGCGGTCCGTTTCTCCCGACATGCCACCAGCCAACACTCAGCGTGCCCATTTTCAGGCAACGAACGCCACCACTCACCTCTCGATCGACCCATCGATTCGATCCTTTACCTTACATTCAATGCCCCGGACGCGAGGATATCGAGCGCGCGACTCGTGGGATAGCCACCAGAGCGCGGCACCGCGGCGGACGCAGAACAAAGGGATCGGCGGCGCGGTTTTGCCGCGCGGCGAAGGAGTCGAAGTCTCCTTTAAAACAGTAGCTGCCGAGTCGAGTGGTGTTACCCTTAATACGGGACAGCCGCATTAATTCATTTATGGCAAAATAATTGAATGCCGTTACACAGTTATTACATTAGCCTGATAGCGCTGGCGTCGCCGTCGTCGCCGGGAAAAGTGAGGTTAGGTCTGGCGTCGTGCTCGCGAGTCCCCCCGGCCCGCCCGTCGCCCCCTCTAGCGGCGTCCTAATAGAAGTATATAAATTAGAGACCCATTGAAAAGTCGTATTGTTTCCAATTTATCCTTAATTCAACCTTGATGCTCGGCCGACAATTGCCCGCCGCTTGGCTTTCCTAATAGCCATTGTGTTGCTCCTTATGGCCGCGCGGCGCGCCCGGATCGCTTCGCCGCATCACTTCCAACGTTCCCGGCCACCGTGTTTCATCCGCTTTTTAATAAATCATTCTGTAGGGTCTCCTAGTTAAATAATTAGTCGCTCCGAGTCGCGTCCGTCGCGTTCTAGGACTATTCGCACCAACCGGAAAGTCGGACAACTCCGCTCCAGTCGTACAAACCGTCCGCTTTGTCAACTCTTGCAATGCGAATTCCACACGGATTCCGCGACAGGAGGACGGGCGGGAAGGGGCTCGAAAAAGCAGTATTATTGTTTCCAGCGTATCCCATCCCCTTCTGTAAGTCGCGAGGAATTTTGTAAGTGGGCTGACTAATTTGCGCTGGGTTGTTGATTTATCGGTGCGCTTGGTGAGTCGTTGCTCAATTAATGCTCATTATCCTTTAAAAGACAATGTATTGTCTTTTAAAGGTGCGATTGGTGAATGTGTGTGTACGTGTGTGGCCACCATCAGATTACGTTTGGTCCGCTTTTTAGGCCTGTAGAACTGAAGGCGATCGTTTGAATCGATGTATGGTCTTCTCAAGGTTTTGAGTTATGGGTTGTTTTCATTTCCCTCTACGTGAGAATTTAAGTCTCGTCCTCAAGGCCTTAACCCTCGCGCTCTTTTTAATTTTATCATTAAAGTACATAATAAATAATGTAAGGAATGATGGCATACAACATGAACGGCGTAAGATTGATTCACATTCAATGAACAAGAATTTCAATGCTCTCAAGTACTTTATTATCAAATTCAATGGACCCCATACAGAAAATGGCAAACATTGAGCATTGTTGGCATTGTCATAAGAAAAAATTGACTTCATGTCGTAAAACTGGACGCATAGTTAAAGCCGAAATTATGCAGACTATGAATTATTTGGTGCCTCGCTGAGCTCAGCGAAAGTGTTGTTAAACGTTTTTTTGGAGTTATCCGATGACCTGTCATTTTGTAAGCATACCTAAAAGCCGCGATCTTGTCAGTCAAATTGGTCAGCGCTCAGCGAGGGTTGAGGCCCGCTGATTCGCGGACCAATCTCGTTGATAAGATGGCGGCTTCTGTTTATTATAACCAGTTTACGTCATCGTTGAGCGGATAACTAAATATGGCGGACTAACTTCAACTTTTAAGTTTAATAACGCATCTATTCAATAATTTACATCGGGAGACACGGAAAATGAGACAGGGAAGAAAATTGAACGAACGCACTCTCATGTAAGTCACCCTAATTCGTTTAATACCTGCTTGTTTCTCCGTCCGACATCCACGCTATTTAGCGTCGAGCCCACTTACAAACTAGAGACTTGAAAGAGACTCATCGATTGCCCCAACTTAAACCGCTGGCCAATGAGAGGGCCAGGAAAAGCATCGATGAACCTCTTTGAACCCTCTAGTTTGTAAGTGGGCTGGACGCTTTAAAGGAGCAAGGGATAAGAGAAATCGGAGCAATCGCATGTAAGAATCCGAGCAAGAGCCGAGACGGTGACTAGTTGACAAACGGATTTCGTAGTGAAACAACTATTATTTATAGCGGTAATTAGTTAAAAAATATGATGTGTGGCTCGCTTGGTGCTTGAGAGTTGGTATCCGAGACACGGGCGGTGTTGCCGGACGGGATTTTAATTCAGCAGCTGTCTTCAGTAAAAAAAATAACTTGGAATGAAATAAAAACGCTAGTTTTGTAACCTAGCATTGGATGTCGCGCGCTATGTAAAACTATTCTATATACAGTGTGTTGCAAAATTCTTGGAAGCTGTCTTTTCAGGGCATTATTTTTTATTTCTGCAATATGTATTTATTTTTTTTAATACGTAATGTTGTTTACTTTTATTATTTTTATTATTAATTTGTTTTTTTTTTTTAAATTTGTTTTATCTTATTTGATTTTTTTGTCATTACATTTTAGCGGTTTTGGTCTCATAAAGGGTTAATAATTTGGAGTGAAAAATATAAATAAATAAATAAAAAAAAAAAACTTTAAACGCATGTGAGATTCACTTCTCCCCCTTTAGGTTTCATTCAAAAAAGTAAATCTCAGAAAGAGGTACACCGAAAAATAGAGTGTCACAGGCAACACCAATTTTGGACATGCATTTTTGGGAACTATTCCATACATCAATTTTCTCATCAAATAGCTCTCGTAATGAAACTCAAAGTGCATTTATGGGCTCGACGTAAACATGGAGTTGGTGAAAATAATGTCAAGTAAAATATTTTTATCATAATTTTAAAAGTTATTTCAGAAGCGATATTACTCGGATTCTCCTGAAAAATGTATTCTAAGCCCTTTCCAGCTAGAGAGACAAGACCTTTCATGGATTTCATGGAATTTGTTTTAAGATTCTGTAAGCTTCCGATATTTGTCGCAACATCTAGAGATTCCTCTAGAAAGTGCTCTAAAAATTAAATTTTAGTGCCTCAAAAAATTTCAGCAGTTGTCACGAGGAGATCTACGCGCATGAGAACCTTGACAAGAAAGCTCACGTGAACTTTGATCTCGGGCGCGGACACATGGCGCACTCTGTATTCGTTTCTCCACTCACGTTTTGACTGCGGGGCCACGCTTCGGCTGAAATATGGAAACCGTTAATCATCGTTGTCAATTGGTCGCGATATTACAAAGTTTTCAAGGGAAGTTCGCGACAAAAAATTCTGATTTTATGGACATCCCGCAACGCAGCAGGTATCCGAACCTCGGCCAGCACAAGCGTTCCTCCTTCAACTCTTTCCCTGTTGTTTTTCCTTTTTTTTTCTTTTTCTTTCGCCTAATTAATTTATGCACATAATAATTCATTTTAATTTGCTTAATTGAAATTTAGTTTACTTCTACTTCCACGCGCTCGTTTTCGCCCCCCCCCCCCTGATTTAAAGCGGGGCGAAGGGGGCATGCGTCGTCGGCCCCCTAATCCTGCTAGACACAGCCAAAAAGTTAGTTGATGATGCCGTCAAGACCTAACAAGGTCTCAGTCCGGCGGATGTGTGTCGATGTGTGAGTTCATGTGTGTGGTTGTTAATGGAGGATACCGATGAAAAAAGGGTTGTCTGACAAGTTTCTTTTACTTTGAAGTTAAATTCTGGCAAGTTTTCAGCATATACTTAATACAGCGGTTACTGCTGTAAATTTACCTAGTTATTCGTTGAAAAATATGGTAACTTTGAAATCTCAAATATGATTGATCAAAATAAAGGCACGTTCCTCCTCCGTTCGGCGGACCATTTTTTTTTTCTTTTTCGGAGTTAAGTTATACCCTTTTCGCCATTGTTTTACTGAAAACCGAGATGGTGAAGTGGAATGTTCAAATTTCAACATAATTTTGCGTTTCAAGTCTCAAATTCACCTTATTTTTACAAATACAAAAAAAAGAAAAACACATGATGATAATTGGAAAAGTAGGACTTACCCATTATAATGATAGCCAGCTAGAGCTGCAGCATCGTACGAGTGGTATATCGACGGGTACCAGGCACCGGCACCTGCTGTCAAATTTTCTTTTAAATCTAAACCGGCTACCTGAAAAATTGAAAACAAAGTGATGAGAACAAGTTGCTTCTCTGCGATGAAAGCAAAAATAATTATTATTCGAAAGCCGATCTAAAATAAAAACTCATAAACTCAAACTGCAGCTCTTAAATGAACCGCGCTAGGCAGAAAGGAACGAAGCCACGTCAGCTATTGCCAAATTTAATTGGGCAATTTAAATGTATACATGAGGACAGTCAGGCGGATTTTCGTGTAAATTTCAATTAATTTTCTGCATATTGCGAAGCAAATTCCTTTAAATTTTCAAAAGATTGCGCACGAACTTTCTGTTGTAAAAAATTAAATTGCCCAGTTAAATGGAAATAGCTGATGTAAATTGGTTCCTTTCTCCTAGACGCGGCTGACGTTTGTGCCAAAAGCACTAAATTTTTTATGTTTCGACTTAAATCTAAAAAATTTGTGGGTTTGATTGACGTTTAGCAAATTGATCCTCACAGCTTCTTAATTGCGCGACTTGGAGATGGAAAGATCTTATGTAGTATAATGCCGTGCTAAGGAAGAACGCCGGATGAACATTTGAAAGTTGACAGATGTACTTCGATAAAATGTTTATTTTTGAGAAAAGTTACGAATATTTTTCCTTTAGATGTTCAGAATCTTAAGGTGAAATTGCGAACAAAATTATCTGAAAAATTGGGAGGAAAATGTTCAAAAGATATACTAGAAAATTCGCGTTTTATGAAAGGAAATTTGGCAACACCTGAAGGTTCATACGGCGTTTTTCCCTAGCACTGAAGTATAATATCTGATTAGCGCCGTACGAATATGAACGAAATACGACAGGAGAGGAGTGGTGTTGTCTACACTTCGTGCCTCTCTAAAATTTAGTCTACCTAAGCATTAGCCCCCCCCCCCACCCAACCCCCCGCCCTTGCTTTTTCGACGAGCTGAATGCGCTTACGAAAACGGAGCTCCATTTAATTAAGTCATTCACCGGGAGCCATACACAAAGCCATCCGGATCAAAACTTTTTTCTTCTTCTTCCCAAACGTCACTGAACAGTAAATAAGACGTTTGGACACCTAAATACTGACGCACAACGCAGCATCATTGTGGGTGCAACAATCGGAGTATCATTAATTATACAACGAATTCACGACAATGCTCCGCGCGCACCACCACAACTGGAACGGTCCGTGTTCAAAATCAAACATGGTCATTATCTGTTGAGCTCCTGAGTATATGCATCTTATTGAACTCATGGCTCATCAGAAAACTGACTTTTAAGGGTTTAATAGCGACCGATTTATCTCCGAGCTGGTCCAGATGAGCCCCCTTTTATCTGTACACGAAATGAACCACAAAAGCCTCGTTTGGCTTTCCTGCTCCTTTCCTCCGGTTTTTTTTTTTTTTTTTTTTTTTTTTTTTTTTTTTTTTTTTTTTTTTTTTTTTTTTTTTTTTTATTCTTTTCATATTTTTTAAACTGTCCCCTTAAATATACCTTGAAACCTCCTTCTTTTGGAAAGAAAACAAACAAACTTGTACATTATTTATATTAACAAGTATGACAAGCTTGCATGCCTGAGTGATCGCTGTAATGCCTAGTTATTTTTCTTTTTTCTTGAGCTGCTATCAAAAACGAGGGATCGGAACTATTGATATAACGTGTACTTTTCTTTCGGTCATAGTATGATCGAAAAAACTTTTTCAGTGATAGTTTCAGGTAAAATCAGTAGCAGTCATAGTGGTAAAATAGTATACTCATGCTGACGCGAAGTGCTCGACTCATCAAAATCTCGCGCCAGAACCTCAGGAGCCTCGGATAAAAATTGCGTCACTTTTCTTTTTTTTTTATATAAAATTGAACAAAACTGAGGCATGTCTTTATAAATGGATCAGGAATGCTGTATTTTAAAGCAATATTTTAAAACACAAGTCGAACTCGGCCGAAAAATAACAACTAGTTGAAAATGGATATATTTTATTTTTGCAACTAGAGGAAGTTTCATGTACCTAGACGTCTACGGCACAGAATTGCAAAGTTTTTTGGCAGAAAAACACCGAAAAAAATGCGGATGATTTGTGGATATTCTAAGCACGCATAATCGAGACTCTACTGTATTTTCTTCAAGCAAGGAACGCACTGGAAAAAAAAAACCACATTGGATCTAGAGTCCAGACTCTTAAAAACATCGACAAGAAAAAGTACTCTTGATTTAATCAGAATCTAGCTTTAATCAAGAACCAAACCTCTTAATTTGAGCGGATTTCGTTTTGATTCAAGCAAAAATCCGATTGAATCAAGAGTAATTTTTCTTGTCTATGTTTTCAAGAGTCTGGACTCTAGATCCAATGTGTTTGTTTGTTTTTTTTTTTTTTTCACGTGCGGTTTAATTACTACGGGTTCTTTGCAAACTGGCAACCTCGCGGAGTCACTTTTCGGGTAGCTGCATCGGAATGAAAAGGCATCCCCCGACGAGGAGTGAATCGTGCTCCTTCCGTAGGAGATTGGGCCTTGGGTTATTGTGAAGGCACGGTTTATTTGTATAGTATTTAGACTATACGGACGGAGGCTCAAGAACCCTAATTGAAACGAGCCCGAACGCTAAACCGCCACTTTCTGACGTCCTTAAAACTGTGATTGATGAATCGTCCGATCTGAAGGGTTTAAGCCTCGGGATTCTGGACATGCTTACGGACCACTGACAATTTTTAATTCGTCTTTGATTTGGACTTGTTTTACTCTGAAAAAAAGTTTCTTGTTCAATACATCGCGACAGGAAAACATCTGTGAGACGACAGGAAAACATCGTTGAGACGTTTTCTTTAGCATGACAGTCATGCTAAAGAAAACTACCATACGATCATTCGAGGTCTACCACTTTTTTTCTGATAAAATGTCAATTTTATGAAAAAAACTTGGAAAAATTGTCTTACAAATTTTTTCTTGTACTTTGATATGGTGTCATAGAAAATGACGTGGAAAAATATTTTTGATTTTCTGAATCATAAGTATTCCATCAAAGGCAATTTGGCGGCATTCGAATTCCAATATGACGTTCTATCTTGGCACGCCGGCTGCGGCAATGCGAGTAATACAGATGGAAAAATGAACGGTCCGTTCTAAAGAGCGTACTGAGAAAAAAGATGTAATTCCCTCTGCAGAAAATGATGATCGGGCCGACGTCGGAAGAATTTGAATACTCTGTAGTCATCAGGTTGAAACCGTTTACGGCTGATGATTCGAGCGCATGGCGCGGCGCGCGGTGTTGACAATGACACGCCTGTCACCTGCGCAAGGTGATGACGTGATAGAGCGGCAAGTGGCTCCGTTGATAAAACGCGCGGCCGACACAAAGAACCGTGTCCACTTCCGAGAAAAGTTTTCTCGCGGAAAACGCTTGTTCCTCAAAAAACGGACATCGGATAGCCTGTGAGAAACCGCGGTGGAATTCCCGTCTGCACCTTATCAGAGAGAATTTTCAGGCATCGTGCAAATCGATCAAATTAAAATGTGCTAACATGCAGTTTCGTCGGAAAAAGACAGTGTCCTTTACAGTCAAGTCCATTGCGGCTCGACATCAATCGCATTGCGGAATCTTATTTCCAGACTCAAAGGCACGATTCCCGTTAGTGAGGATTCTAAGACATGATACAAATGTACATACTTCTAGGTGCTGCACATTGCATAGTCATTGAAATGAAGGATCACCAAATTTTACATGCGCTTATTCTTACATTTTACATATTCACGTAACAAACTTAGAAAAAAAGTATCATAACTTCAACTATACTCCTGGCTGATTTTGGCGCCAGATATAAGAATATAGTTGCACCAATTAGAGGTACGGTTGAGTCTGCCGATTGCGTGGTTGGATCAGTCATACCTTTAAAGCTAGTACGACTATTCTTATATCTGGCGCATAAATCAGGCAGGAGTTTATTTGGGATTGTGATACTTTGTTTTTCAGTGAAGAGCGCATTTCAATAATTTTTTAAACGACGGGTGGCAATAACTGCAGTCGGATGAAATTCCGTGTAATTTAACTTCATAGGCCGGTCGGCTGCCCATTTGGACCCTGTAGTCTCCATGACCTGATCAAACCTAACTGATGACATTCCCGATATGTCCATCACTAGCCAGGTATTCTCCACTGAAAAAATAGTTACGGGCTATATAGGCGTACCGTCCGTGACTCAGAGGCCGGAAGTTCCCGGTGCTGGAGCCGTAGTTTCAACTGCTCCGGGTGCTGCACCCGAAACTTTCGGCCTCTGGGCTCAGAACGCGTACGATATGCCTATATGGCCCGTAAGTATAGCTCCCACGGCCGGAGTTTTTTTTTTTTTTTTTATCAATGTACCTGGAATACCTAAAGGATGTATGTAAGGGGTTACGAAGTATGTACTTACGGAGGAAGGGTAGAAAGGAGGCTGATCCCCGCCGAGGGCGGGAGGGAAGTAGGCGGAGATGCCCTCCGGGTAGGGGGCGGAGTACATGGAGAGCGGGGGGAAAGCGTGGGGTCCGAGGCGCTGGAAGTTGAGGAGATCGTACTGGCAGGTGCAAATCGTCTGCCCGGAGATGGGGTCCGTGTAGAAGGGTTTCCCGGTGTCGCAGCATCGAGGGGCGCCGCCCCCGGGAGGGGAGGCCACCCGCGGCTCCCGCTCTTCCGAACTGGTCACGGCCATCCTCGCGCTCGGGGATGAGGTCGACGCTCGGGCTTCGACGGTCGAGGGGCTCGACGAACTTGAGAGGGTAGAGCTCCCGGCTCCTCCGGCTCCCGGCTGCAACAAACAAACAAACCACATACCAAATTAAAAACCAAATCAAGAGAGGTTCTTGCATACTAGGGGGTGTGCCCCCTGGTCACTCCGCGGCCCAACCCCCGGAGGGCGCTTCGCGCCCTCCGAAGCCCCCTTGGTGCCCAGCGATCTCATCTAGAGATCACCCCTCATCAATAGCCGCAAAAATCATAGAAATCCGCCCGGTACATATTATCCAAACGGATTGAACATTTTAGAAAGAGGAACAAAAAGAAGAAGATAAAGTTAAAGATGGAGGAGAAGGAGGGGCAGTATGGAAGAGTAAAAGGAAGAAGATGGAAAAGAAAATGAGGTAGAAGGGATAGGAGAAGAAGGAATGAAGAAGCAGAAGATAAATAAGAGGATAAAAAAGGAGACAAATAAGAGGAAGAAAAAGAAGGGTGAGAAAAGAAGGTAGAGGAAGAGGAGTATGGATCATAAAAACATGGAAATCTCTGAGAAACAACACTGGAAAAAAAAAGTCGCTTGGATCCAGAGTCCAGGCTCTTAAAGACGTGGACAAGAAAAAATACTCTTGATTCAATCGGATTTTTGCTTGAATCAAAAGAAAATCCGCTAAAATCAAGAGGCTTGGCTCTTCGATTCAAGGAAAAATCTGATTGGATCAAGAGTATTTTTTCTTGTCCATGTTTTCAAAAGTCTGGACTCTAGATCCAATGTGTTTTTTTTCCAGTGAAAGACACGACGTAAAAAAATTTGCATGTTTTGAGAATATTAAAGTAGGTCCGTGTCTACTTCAAAGTTTGTCAAAATTCCAGGAATATTCCGCCGCATTTTTTAAATGTTTCGCAGTGGCAAATTATTTTTCTCTACTTCACATCTATTTTCATATTGCGTTGGTTTCGTTTGTCTTTTGTATCGTATTCAGTCGTGGACACATATTCGGTATTGTTTTCTAGATTTTCTACCGAAATTGAGCGGCACCTCGTTAGCAGCATAGAGATCGCAAGTTCTTGTTCCGCGCCATCGCGCCTTCAATTATCCAGATGCAACACGGACATCCATCGAGCACGAATATTTGTATCTCTGCGCCGTCATTAAGGAGCGTCGTTTTCTTTGCTCTACTTCCAAATTATGTTCATATTCGTTTGTCTTAATTGTAGCGAAGCTTCAAGGGCTTCTCGAGCAACCCATCGGCAGATCAGACGAGATGTAATAAGGCCTCGTTTTTAAACATTTCTCCCGAATCTGAACGACACCTCATCGGCAGGATAAAGCGAAGCAATTCGAGTTCATGTCTCACGCCATCGCGCCTTCAATTTTCCAGACGCATCACGGACATCCATCGAGCATGAATAGTTGTATCTCTGCGCCGTCATCAACGTGCGTTGAGGTGTCTCTTATTTCGATAGATTTTGACACCTCCACGTTGGCGGTCAAAGAGAGTGCGTTCCTCCAGGACTTAAATTCTAAATTTTTTGAACAAAATGTCAAGAACAACCGCAAAATTGCTCAGCTGCCATGCGCCACGAGCAAAGCAAATGGACGAAAAATCAAACCGATGCAGCGGCGTGGCGCGCTTCTCGATCTATCGATATTTCCCCATTTTAAGCTGTGGTAAAGAATCGATTATTAAGGTGTTCGCTGCGAACACCCTGGTTATCGATACTTTTCCATAGGTTTAAATGGCAGATCAATCGATATATCGCAAAGCACGCCACGCCACTGAACCGATGATGACAAGAACCCGGAGCAGATGTCAGCACGGATTAAAACATTCGTTTACGCGGTTCATAACCGCGGAGCAAAAGCTCATAAATCCGTGTTAAACCCACAGTATAAACCCCGGCGGAGGGGTCGCTCACTCTCCATAATTAATTTCATCAGAACTGCATCATTTTCCCATCGTTGCCGAAACCGAAACCCCGGAATCGCAATCGAATATCGTTTTATTGGGCGCCCCGCCCCCGGAACCCGCCACTTTCCCAATAAAAGAGGCCACTCACTCGGAACTAATATTATTATGCCACGATATGGGAGCCGCCACCCTTCCCCTCCCTCCCCCCGCCCTCGGTCACTCGTCCTTCCGTTTCCACCCCTTCTTGATTTTTTCGCTGTGTTGATTTCACATTAGGTCCAATTTGAGAGGGTGGCTTTTCGGGGATGGGCCCGACCACAATTTTCCGCTCCGTTTGTCCCTAAGTTAATTTTGAAGTATTAAACAAAGAAGTCTGAATATTTTGCATCGATTCGTCGATTTTTCCGAAATATCTGTGCATATTTCTACACAGAAAAAAACAAGTTATGGGCTATATGGACATACCGTTCGTTCCAGGCTCAGACGCCGAAAGTTGCGGGAACTGGAGCCGTAGCTTCAATTCCTCCGGGTGCTACGCCCGGAACGCGGACAGTATGTCTATATAGCCCGTAAGCACGGCTTCAACGGCCGAAGTTTTTTTTTTTTTTTCAGTGTATTTAGATTGACACTGAAGAAAGACATTTGCAGAAACAACCAAACCCTTAAATCAACAGAACTGGCGATTGACAAAATTGAAAACTCTCGTTTTTAAACCCGACAACAATGCTTCTTTTGCGCCCCAGGTTTGGTCATGGATAGAATCGAACAACGCTTGAAAATCGACCACAAAATAGGAAAAAAAGGGAAAGGTCAATTCTGCCCTCCTTTGTCGAGATAGAGGAACCGGTTTTTTGTCACATTTTTTACTGGTCAGTACAATGCAAATACTGCCGGAGTGGATCCACACCTGTGAACACGTTGGGTGCAGAAATAGAGGCATTCTTTTTGATCCATCACTTCTAATTTAAAGAAGTCCCACCAATTAGTCTCTAAAGTTTTATCACCATAATTTTACACTTTGATTACGCGGATCCAGACCTAATTCAAGTATCTTTTATCGTTAAACCAAGTTTTGGCAGAAAAAAAACTTCGAGTCCTCAGAAAATGAAAGAAAAAAATTGAAATGATAAGTATGAAAAAAAAGAAAAGAAAAAGAAAAGATTTTAGAATTGTCAACTTTTAATTCCATGCGACCCCTTTTTATCAGTGTGTCATTTTCATCTCTAGGTCGAAGAAACAACACCACTAGACTGATAATTTTGGCGGAAACGTGTTAAACGACTTTGGCGCATTATTTGCTACAAACAAAATTCAAACCACTGGTTTTTATTTTTTTCCAGTTCCGCGCGTGGAAACGCTGCAATGACACTGTAATTCAAATTTTAAAAACATGTAAACCTAACCTTAAATATAAAATAAAGATTAAAAGTGTCAAAGATTTTTCTCTCTCCTGTGAAATCATAAGTTTGCAGTTAGACGGTATTGTCCCGTAGCCATCAATTTGTAAATTCACAAGAAAAACTCGTTCAATGATAAAATCTCCAAAAATTCGTCGTTTAAAGTGTCTTGATTACTGTGTGACATTATGCTGAGAGTATCTGCGCTGTAGTTAGACCCCCGTCTATCGAGCCATTGCGGAAAAGACGCGCTGCTCAGTGGCGTGGCGTGCATTGCGATAAATCGATTGTTATGTCATTTAAACCTATGAAAAAGGATCGATAAACAGGGTGTTCGCAGCGAACATCTTAATGATCGATTCTTTACCATGGATTTAAATGGCGTAACAATCGATACATCGCAAAGCACGCTACGCCACGCCACTGGTTCGGAAACTTCTTGGGAGCATTTGGACGCAGACACACACGGGAGTCGAGTCAGAGGTGTGTGACAAACTACCCATTAAACGTTGGTGTAAGAATTAATTAAACGGTGGAAGGGAGTTAGTCTCACTCTCATCGCGGTACCAATTTCGTTTCAACACGGGTTTAAACATGGAAAACAGGCGGAGAGCCTCATGCGGGAAAAATGAGTCCAACTCCAACGGCGCAGTGGGCTCAGTTTCAATTTCAGCGACTAGAAACTGACGGATTATGCTGCCGTGCTAGGGAAAAACGCCGTATGAACATCTGGATGTTGCCAAATCTCCGTCTTCAAAGTGTTCATTTTGAAGGAAAGGGTGGGATGATTTTCTTTGAGATTTTCATAAATTGTAAAATCACGTGATTGAGAATAAAATTATCTGAGGAATTGGGAGAAAAATATGCACTAGCTCCAAAGGAAATTCGAATTTAATACCAAGAAATTTGGCAATGTCTAATGGCTTATACGGCGCTTCTCCGTAGGCAGTATACATATGGACTACATTTTGCGATTCGAAACTATAGTGTCTGGCTTATCTGCAAAAACACTTATGCGCACAGGAAAACGTCTAGTGGCTTATTTGGCGCTTTTCCTTGGGACGGCAGTATGCATATGGACTACATTTTTCAATTCGGAACTATAATGTTTTATCTGTAAAAACACGTATATGCATAAGAAAACTAATGGTACAAACGTTGTTTCTAGACTGAGCCAGAAAATATAATTCCTAATCGCAAAATGTAGCCCATATATCCTTGGGACGATGTATTCACTTTTTTTGAGCCCATCAACTTTCATAATCAATCTTTGGGGGTAGAAAAAGGAATATTAAAACTGCTAGGGAGACACATGGACTGTTTTGACCATGAAATGAGTCAAAGTCTGTGTTCAAATCCGACTGCACTTTACGTCGTACAAAATTTTACGTTAATTGGTGCTTGAGCTTAATAAGTTCACTTCAATAAATGGAACTTTCGGTTCGAAATGAGATTTAGTTAATTCCTCCAGAAGTTTTGTCCACTGTGCGAGTCTCCTTGGTTTGATAATGACTGTAAGCGTTAAAAAATTTTTGTTCTTGATTATATCGCAGCTAACAAGTAGCTTCACACGCTGCTGGTGTTATGATCATTGATTGTTTTATTGTGTATACAATTTTTTCCTTGTTCCCCTCTGTGCATTCCTAGCGCTCCTCCGAATTAATCTCTCTCCGTCCCACGAGCTGATTAGACACCCCTGTTTTTAGGTTTCCATCAAATACCGGTGAAATCGACCCTAATATTTCGTGTTCCTTTCCTTAATTCTT